GGTGATAGCCTTCGACGAGCGGCGGTTAGAAACAGGCGTAGTACTCCCTACGACGCCGCGATGATCTGCGCGTGCCAGCAGTTTGCTCTGGATCAGTGACAAATTCGAAAACACGTGAGGATCATCGGTGTTATTGAAAAGCTATGGTATTGATGTTCGCTTTATGTAAGGCGTGTTGCAATAGAGCCACCCCCACCCCCTAGGCCGTGATGCCCTCCCCCTGTTTACCACTAGCACTACCACGGTCGTCGGCAAAAGGACCGCCTTTGTGACTCACCGGCGGTGACATTTCTGCGCAGTGTTCGTCCATAGCGCGCCACCGGAACAGCACCAGCTACACAGCCTCCGCCGAGCTGCGCCAGAGCGCGCCACTCTACGCGCGCCGCCGGCCCGACGACGAAGTAGCACACGACAGGAATAGGCGGCGTGGGTTGGCGCGAGGCTACAGAGACAGGCGGAACCACTCGAAATTTTGATCATTTGCGGGGATCAAGAACTCTGCAAGGTACGATATTGTCTCTCTCGAGAGAGAACGATTTATGAAAAGTTAGTAACATGTAATATTCAAATATACATTCAAGAGTAAAATGGGAGTCAGTCCACTTACTGTAATGCCCAGAACCCAGAAGAAAAACAACGGCGAATAAAATGTATGAGGTAAATTTATTACTTCAAGATAAAAAATATATGGATAATGTCCAGTTTTCATCACAGATCTAATGGCTACAATTACCTGCTCATAGCAATCATAGTGTAAAGAGCACAGCTTCCCAAGTAACAGAGATTCGTCACTAAGGAACTAGTCACTGTGACGTGTTTTAGTGTACAAGAAGTTGATGTCATTGTGACGTCAGAGAAACGTAAATGACATCACTTTGACATCAATATGACCTCATTCTATTGTAAAATGAATCACGTCAAAATGACTAGTGTGTAAACTGGGTCAAATTCATGTCATTTTGACGCATTCGTGACGAATCTCTATTACTTGGGTTGTTAAGAAGCACACCAGTATCCTCCAAAATCAAACTAAAAGTAAGACAAATAAAAGCATAACATCCACATGAGAATAAAAAGTTAAAATTCATACACACAAATAGACCTTTTTGCCCACGGCAAGGCTAAAAATCAAAACATATTTTGTACTTGAAATCAATCGTACTTAGGGTGACTGACAACCAAAATTTACGCATTACCACTCAAAAGGGTGACAAGTCAAGAGAAAGTTCCCAGAAGAATCAAGGAACTAAGGCTTATGTTCAGGGTTAAGAAGTGCTCTAATTCTCTTGTGAGCAGCATCTAAGTCTTGGCGCAAAGTCTTTAGTTTCTTCAGCTTTTGTTGTTCATTGAGAAAAATGTCTGGTGTGTTAACATGCAGGTTCTCTTTTTGAGATTGAAGAAATTGCTTCTTAACGATTTGGTTAATTCGATGGCACTTCTCACAGCGCCATGCTTTACTGTTTATCAGCACAGTACATGTATTAGAACGAAATGTTTGCACAAAGCGGGCTTCATTGTATGGATTCCGGTCGATGAAGCCACCACTGGTATATCCCCAGACACTTGTAAACTCTTGCAGACGGTCACCACCCGCACAAATCTCCATTAATCTAACTCTACCAATGATCTTCAATGCTCTGTCAACAAACTCGTCAATACAGTGTGGCTGTAAAGACACTGTTGGCAGATTTTTTACATAATTGTCAGCACTTATAATCTGACAATGCACACTAATCTCTACAGATCCAGAATAATGGAAAAACACATTTCTCTGTGCAGCTCTTGGTCTCACTCGAGACATGAGAATACAGCTTAGTCCATCATCTTCAGGGAATGATGTCCAAAAGCGAGGTAACAAACTGTCTATTTTCTTTTTTACTTCAAGGAGAAGAGCTGATATTTCCTCTGTTCCACAGACTGGCATGGACGGTGGCGGCTCCACACCATCACTAGTTTCATCAGACACTTTATCTACTGGAAAAGGCAGAGCATAATCATGGAAACATAAAGGAACTTGTTCGGGTGTTAGTGGTGGGGTGGTCTCAGATGAAACTGCAGTTGATTCATCGTCTTCCTGCTTTATCTGAAAGAAAAGTTAGAACATCACTTAAGATCGAGCTCAATACTCATGTAATGTTAACACGTTATTTAGTTATAAATATTGACATAAATACCTGTTCCTCGCCTTCATCACTTGACGCAACCTCAATTTTAACAACAATCTCTTCTACTGCATTTTGCTCTGGTTGTGCCACTTGGTTTTGTTGTAGTCTCTTCAGACTCTCTGCTCTACGAGCGTTCTTGCGGAGCGTCAGCCGCTTCTTATTCCTAAAATGCGTTTTTTTACGAGGAGCAGGTTTCCCCATGTCACAACTAAAAACAAACCACAAGAATTTTGCCCCTACACACGCACAACCAAATGACCAAAATAGTGTCTTGAATGCTGCAGGATCCAGACAGAGGAGTGGTTCTTATGATTTGATTTCTGGTCGACGCAGACAAGGACAAGAGCACCGCGAGCAGCACACAAGATATTAACGGGCAGTTGAAGATATGTCAAGGCCCTGCAGATTAAGCCTAATGACAATCACAGCACATGCAAGCACAGGTAAATAAATAAATACAGGTTATGCGCTTCTTGTGCCTGCTTATCTTCACTTCACTTGCCTTCCTCCCTCCCTCCCCCCTGCCCCTACCTATTGCCCTACATCTCCGGGATGCTCGAGATGCTTTACAGAAGGTTGGGATTCCGAACCTGTCCGGGCGTCGCGTCGGTCACGTCCCAGCCCTTATCTACAAAAAGCTAAAGTATTAATGCTCATTTGAAAAAAAAACAAACCTTGAATAAATCTTAATTCGTGTTTCTTGAGTAATTTTTTAGGAGGTCGTATAGTGATTTTTTGGCGGCAAGGTTGGTTACTTGAAGTATTCTGCTGCAGACCACATTCAACTGTTTGTGTTTTGGACGACGGACGACATAAACATGTGTAGAAGTTAGGTTATATAGGTTGTGAAGATAAGTTTGGAAATTGCCTCCTTAGATTGAAAAAGCTGGATACACTCCCATCTTGATCTGTCAGAATTGATATACGTCTCTTAAAATGGAGAACAAGGAAGAACCTAAGACCACAGATGTTGTGGAGGATGCGTGGAAAATGGTTCCACCCCCCTTCAAGCAAGGGGATATGAAACATACTTTAGTTGATGAAAGTTCGTTTGCAACACTCTTCCCCAAATATCGTGAGCAATATTTGAAACAGTGCTGGCCTCTTGTTCAAAAGAAAATGGAAGATTTCGGTATTGTGGCAGAACTTGACTTACTTGAAGGAAGTATGACAGTGAAAACAACAAAGAATACATGGGATCCAACAATGATCTTGAAAGCACGAGATCTGATTAAGCTTCTCTCTCGATCTGTTCCCTTTGAGCAAGCTGCCAGAGTAATGGAGGACGAAAATGGATGTGATATAATCAAAATTGGGTCAATGGTTCGTAACAAAGAAAAGTTTGTCAAGAGACGTCAGCGTTTGATTGGACCCAAGGGATGTACACTAAAATCCATTGAACTTTTAACGGGCTGCTATGTTTTGGTTCAAGGAAACACTGTTGCAGCATTAGGACCCTATCGAGGTTTAATTGAAGTAAGTATTATTTCTATTTGAATTTTGCTTGCTTCTATTTGTGTTTGACATCGAAATTAATGTGAGTCTCTTTACCTAGGTTCGCAAAGTTGTTGAAGACACAATGCGCAATATACACCCAATCTATAATATCAAGGCAATGATGATAAAGAGGGAATTAAAGAAGGATCCAAAGTTGGCAAATGAGAGCTGGGATCGATTTCTTCCTAAATTTACTGGAAAGAATGTCAGCAAGCCCAAACCTAAAAAGACCAAGCCGAAGAAACCTTATACACCATTCCCACCAGCACAACCTGAGTCCAAGGTTGATCAACAACTCAGATCAGGAGAATATTTCCTTAAAAAGGATGAAGTCAGAGAAAATTGGATGCGGAAGAAAAAGGAAAAACAGGCAGAGGCTGAGAAGAAGCGCCAGGAAAGGAGAGCAGAATCCTTTGTCGCACCAGAAGAATCAGCTGCATCAAGTTCAAAGGGTTCTAAGAAGGCTTCTAATGATGTGGATGTTGAGGCTTTGAAGAAAAAAGTCAAACTGGCCAACAAAAAGAGAAAAAATTTCAATGTGTAGCTGTGATTATTCTTTATTACTATTATTATTTTTTTGTGATATGCAATGTATGATGTCTCTTTGTGCCTCTAGGCTGAGATTTGTGAGTTCATTTTGGGATCAGAAAGAATAAATAATACACTATACCAAACATTGCTTCCTTTTTTTAATTTAACAAATGATGACTTACATGGAACATGATGGAATTATGCATAACATAAGAGACTAGATATATAGTCAGTTATTGATTTAAGAGAAGAAAAGAAATGGAGAGGAGGGAAATGTGCTTCACCCCATGAACATTTCAAAGCCATCTCTGTACAGCTGACAATATTTTTTTTAAACTTACATGACTTGTTTTGCTGGCTGCTTGCTGTTGAAAATGTGATGGTATTGTAATAATGAAAGAAATAATCGTTTTAGGATTGAGGTAGAATTTCCAGTTGACAACCACACAAGAGCACTACTTGCATGGATACTGGATGATCTGAAGATTAAAACAGACTTGTTGCATTGCCTGTTAATTGAATTTCAAAAAGACAAGCCCACAGAACAAGGCACTGGTCAGCCTTTGATGGTTTTAACAAAGAATCAACTTGTCCCTAGAAGCAGAGGGAATATACCAAGAGTCTTTAACAAAGTCCTTAATGTGATAAAAAGAGTATGTAGAATTGCTTCATATCACATGGTTCAAAAAGTTAAAATACATACATTAAAGAAATTACCCAATTGGCATGTTGTTCATGAACTCAACCTTAAATGGGTCAACCTAATATAGTTTCCTACAATATAAATGTAAATTGGTAGAAAGGAGTCTACTTTATGTACAATGAAGTCAAGTTCATGTGGCTACATCACCTTAGTTTATGCATAGATATTGTACATGAAGATGCATTTTTAATGGGATGAAACAAACTGAAAAACCCAAAGAATCAATACTATTTCATATCACATCCTTTACAGGGTAGTAAAAACCAATCTAAGAGGACTACCCTACCACAACCATTGATGTCTACCCATACCATTTAATTTTCTTAAAAAGTTGGCGGGTAAGTGAAGTTTTCATATCTTTTTCAAGTTCCTCTACTATAGGACACAATCCAAGAACCAATTAAAATGTACACATACAAATTTGTACAAAAACGTAAACATTGAGCACTTCCACTCTCTTCAAATTTTCACTTGAATCGATGGTGAGGAAGGAAAAGTCATACACCATGCTTCAAATCTATGCTAGACAGTACAAAGACTTCAATAAAAGTTCAGTATGAATCACTTCATAGTTAACACAGCATTTACTTTAGCTCAGCTTAAGAGCTGATTTAAGATTAAGAGCCCAAATACCTTCTTTTGAGATATTGCTGTACTACAGAAAAGTACAGGTGATTCTTAAGATTTTTTTAAACAGAAAAAAGCAGTTGGGTTCAGAGTTGGGTGCATTCAAAAACAAAATGTTGCAAATTTTTAAAGTAAAATTAAATCTTTTTAAGATATATATTATATATTATTGCCTTGACCTAAGAGTAAAAAACAAAGACTCTGCACCAAGAAATAGAAATCAGGAGCAATATCAGTGATATCTCAACATTTAATATCTGCTACTGAACTATTGCAAGGAGACATGGAATCTTTATAGTTATTATCACAAATTATAAAGCTTACATAGTAAAGAAAAATACACTGGCAGGTCATAATGATACGTCAACCACAGCTCATAACTTATAATACATATCCGAAGTATGTAGTCACTCTATGAGACATGAATGTGGTTGTATATTAAGAATAACAGAGCATATTATTTCTTTCACAGAAAGAGGGAGAAAAGCATCCTTACTGAGCGGACCTATGGCCAGACTCGCTAACAATATTAAAAAATACAAGCTGTGTTTACAACAGAAAAATAACTCGTGGTTAAGAAGAGGTATTGTTTTTCCAGCTTAAGATGAATCTTCAAAGAAAGGTGAAGGTGCAACACCTTATGGTACAAAGTTCCTCTTTTGTACAGAATATGTGGACTTGGCTGTTGATAGCATTATTTATCCTTCTCATTTGTCACATACAATTAAATATGGACTAGAAAGTCCAATTTCCTGTGTGAGAAATGAAAATTCACATCAATATTGACAAAAATGACAATTTTGATATTGGCACAAAGTTGCACAAAATATGTATGTTGATTCATTACTGTATTAAATATGGAACAAGGTATGTAAGTCAATCATGATTTTCAATTTTAAAAGATGTACAAGTGAACTTGTTTCTAGATGCTTAAAATTGTTATACGTTTCAGAACTGACAGACAAGAGGTTTTATGGAATTTCAGCTGATGTGCTTTTAATATGTTAGTTATCTGTATCTGGACCTGGATCCAAAGTTGGCCTCTTGTCATTTTTCCTACCACATTGGAATGATTGTTTCCTATGCCTAATAATTATTAACAAATATTATACAATAAACAGAGATAGCACCAATAATATTCTTACATATATGTTTCTACAAAAATTGCATCTTAAATGATAACGTACTTCAACAAGTTATTTGCTCTCTCAGCAATCACAATCAGTCAGGATTGAAAGAATAATGGCAAAGTCTGCATAGGTTTTAATTTAACAAGGGGGGAATCGCAGACTGTACAAAGTCATATATTCTCTCACACAACAGTAAGAAAGAAAAGACTGAATGACAAGAAAATCACCTTATCAGCAGCATAGATTTTAAAGTATGTATGTCTGGTAGTTAAAATTTCAATAACTGAATATTTAGTGAAGAGCCGATTTTCATTTTTCATGTGAAACCAACAAATACAATACAGTTCCTCTAGCCAATCTACACAACTGACCAACATTCCCACACACATGGATAATATTTATTTTTGTGTGCAATCCGATCCACTCACAATTCACCAAGTCCGATAACTTCAACTTTTCTTGTAAACTTTTTCTAAACTTATATACAACAACACAGAGCTTCTTTACGAAGTTCTCAAAAATTATCTGCATTTGGCTACCTACCACTAATTATACCTGGAGAGCATAATTAATCAGAAATAAGGCTGCACCACCTTAAGAGCATAACAGATAATATATTATATAGCAGATCCAGATTTATTATATGGTAGTTGAGCGATTTGATGGGATTGTATTGTGGTTTTTATTGCCAAACATGTTGAATACTTATGGTTCTCCGACATGTTTCACAATAAAAACCAAAATAAAATCCAGTCATTTCGCTGAAGTACCATCATAAAATACATCTGTTGATCTGCTGTCCAGTTATTCTGTTAACTGTTACTCATTTAAGGTAATACAGCCAAGTTTCATTGGGAGTAACAATTAACAATCAGATTAAACGTAACTTTGTATCAATTCTTATGCATAGTTACTTTTTTTTTCACTGAGTCATTTTTAGAGGAAGACACCAGATCATTAAGGTGATATTGGCAAAACTAGAAAATGTTTTAAGTTTTCTCACTTTGCAGCAGTCCAACAGCAAAATATCAATTACAGTACAATAATTGTTCTTCTTTGTTCTGAGATTTTAGTATACCCTTAAATGGCTTGAGCTATGAGGTTCCCATCTTAAACTTTTAATCCAAGTACAAACCAACAGTCTTTCATCAAAGATCTCACCTTTTCATGTCATTTTAACCTCCAGTAACTTTACCTAAATTATTTACATTTTCACAAAAATTGCATGGGCTTAATTGTAATATTCCCTTTCCATGAAATATTTGTTAAAGTGACTTTGTACCAGTGAGCAGCTTGAAATAAGGACTATGCTCGATGTAATGACACTGTCCACCGTTGTGTAGATGATAATGATTCACACTTTTCCACTGTAAGTCCTCTACTCCTATCTCTTGAATCAATGCAAAGGCTTAGCTGAGCATGTTTAATAAGACCTCCTGGTTCAGTCTGGACCCAGTGCTGAAAAGATAAAATATGAAGCAATGAAAAACCCGCTCTCAAAGAAAATACTGAATCATGCTTCCAATCAATGAGTTAGTACACGAACCTGGTCTTCTTCCTCTCCACACGGTGTCATAATCAACGCAATTCCTGCTTGTCTTTCAGGAAGAGTAAGGCACATCTCATGATGCTTCAATAAGCCATCATCAGTTAGTGCCCATTCCTGTGAAACAAATAATGTTAGAATGCAAAAACATAATTTAAAAGTACACCATATCATATTCATCATACCTGATTGCCACCACTAGAATGGCACTGATACAGGCCGACAGTGTTGTGAGAGAGATGGCCAAGAGTATCAATACATCTGCCATGTTGACTTATCGAGCTAATGACATTTTCCTCAGGGATTTGCAGCTCAGGATATACATTTTCTAGGTACCATTTAAAAGGTTTGCACTGAAGGCGTTCTTTCAGTTCTAGTCTGTCAATAATGCTACAAAGACAGGATGATTAAATCAATGTGTAGATCTTTGCAACGGTAAAGGAACATGGATTGGATAACTTGTTTTCTTGACAAATACTTACTCTCCATAAGGAATATGTTTTGCAAGAGGCACTGCATTGTAATAATACTGCTTGTAATCATCCATCCACACCTCAGCAGCTCGCCTAGTGTTACGGGCAAAAACATTGCCTGAACCTCCTGGGAAAGTGTAGGGATGCCTTTTCCTGAAAACGTGTCCAACTCGAGAACATGGAATAATTTCTAGAGAACCACCACACTGCCAAACTCTGAAGGAAATCTCTGTTAAGCGGAAGAAAATATTTCAATGTTAGTTGATGTTCTATTACCTCACATAAAGTGAATAGCCATTGAAGGGTGCCATTACCTAAATTTTCTCCTCCCCACACATCCATTTTCATGTCATATTTGCCCAGTTTTTCGAAATATGCCTTGTCAATGACAAACAGACCTCCAGCAATCATAGGAGTCCTAAACGAAGGGCGAATTGAATTAATTAATAAAATGGCACATTCTACACACCTTTCTGCCGGCGTCTCTACGGCCTGGTTTACCTGATGGCGCGGGTGGGGTCTTGCGCCCGCCTTGTCCGTTCCTTGGGTCCGAGGTACTCCCACTTGAACACCAGGTTCCAGTCGAAGCCGCCCCGCAGGTCGGCCGACGCTCCGATGTAGTTGAAGTTGTCCATGCTGATGACGTCGATGATGGGGCATACGACGCGCGACGGGTCCTGGAAGCACAAGAGGAGATTGCTTTCCTCTGCTGGTGCACAAAAAGGCAAAAAGGTGTTGTGGAATTCCCCCCTCCCCATGCAGGCGTGGCGTGGCGACCGGCCACATCAGCCCAGGTGAGGGGCGCAACAGGCGAAATGGGATGCGACCAGACGGAAGCCTGTCAAGCAGTCCGTGCGGAGGCGGAGCGCTCCGGACCGCAGGGGCAGACATGCGCGGGCTGACTATAAAATCAAGCGTACCCAAATTTTTCTGATTATTTCTCAAAGGAATTCTAGTTGCTTCTTATTTTTCTAATTTT